AACTGCAGGCAAACTCTTACGGGAATAGTCAGTGGTGTCTATATAATATGAATTCCTGGACATTAAATGTTCTTCTGTAATTTTCTGTAGTGGTCCCAGCAATATTTGTTCTTTTCTATTTGTTCTGTACTGAAGTAGCATATCACAAAACATGGTCAAGCTACATTTGAGTTGAGGACTGTAAGCGTCTTCATTTTGAAAGAGACGACCAATGGGGAACTCACTTAGTTATTAGGGCTGGCCCTGCTTTGCTGCGGTTGAGCCACACATATAAAACGTCCAAATAATTAGATAGTGGGTCAGTTTTAATTTCGTTGATGAAAACTTTGACAAAAAAAAATTGTCTATGTACTTTTTTCATTACCAAAATGAGATAATGACAAGCTAAAAAAAAGTCAGAGTTTACAATAACCCTGGGTATAAAACCTAGTTGTTTCAGATTAGTTGTATGGGTTGTCAAAGTTTTTGAGACCATAAATAGAGAGATGTTGAGCTTTTCAAATGATGATTAGTAAGAGTGTGTTTGTAAATCACCACTTAAACCTGTCAAACACTGCTGGAGAAATGACAGCTTGTAAGTGTGTGTTATTTGTAGTAGTCAAAAAAAATTCTAAATGAAGTGTTTATACAACCTGTCACCTTGATTCTGATTTCTGACACATGAATTATCCTCACCGGATTAGTTAAAAAAAATATAAAATAAATAAAGAAAACATGACTAAAAGTCAACTAAAACTATGAAGGCCGACTAAAACTAATAAGCATTTTTGTCTCAAGACTAAGATTTAATCTAAAACAACTGTCAAAATTAACACTGTAGCAGGCCAGGACAAAAGAAAAGGAAGGTCTCCGAACAATCAAATATCTGCTGAGCATCCATCAGTAGTGTCAGAAGAAAACGTCAGTGATGTTTTCTTGACTTATGTCAACTAACATTTTCTTGCAGTTGCTAGCTGCCTTGGAAAACTCAAAATGAAATGTATGTCACCACCTGGTGTTTTCAAAATACCAGGTGGTGACAAAGACTTAGGAAATAGTTTCTGTGTGCAAAACCTTACAGCAAACATGATTTCAGTTGATGATATTCATGTTTTTACAGTTAACTACCCATGACTCTTTTTAAAGGTAAAGTTTGACACATCTCTGTTTGCAGGTGTTGGGGAGTAACACTGGTGTCAGAGGGAGCTGTGTGAAGTCGGAGCACTCTTTTACTGTAACAAAAGAATGAGCATCCATGAGTCAGTCATTGTCAGGTGGCCCAAATCTTAGTTTGTGTGTAGGGACTGACAGACGCTATTGTTCCTCAGTAATTCATGGATAATTTCAAGCCATCATGTTTTGAAATACTGGGGGATTTTGATTGATCTTGCCTTTCAGTTTCTCTTATTCATTACAATATAAAGTGGACACTACTACACCTACTTAACCACAGAGCTGTGTGTGTGTGTGTGTGTGTGTGTGTGTGTGTGTGTGTGTGTGTGTTGCCCATACATAGCTCCTCAAGTGCTCTCAAGGGTCCAAATCTGAACCTTAACAAAGCACGTCGAAGCGGGGCTTAATCCTGCTGCATCATATCTATTGAATTTGAGGGATTAGAAGCTAAAGGTGTTTAAGTTAAATCAGAATGTGTGTGAGTGTTCGTATGTCTATGTGGGGGCTGATGGTACAATAGAAGATAACTATTGTTTTGATCATGTTAACCTTGCATTTAAATATTGAATGTTTCAGACTGTAAAGGTATTTTGTATTGCTTTTTTTCACTCATAATATTTCTGTAAGAAGATCGTCCAGTTCTAATCTGGGGCCTCATTTATAACCCTTGTGTATGCACTAAAAATGATGTCAGGCTGTGGTAGGTGACAGGATTCAAGAATTTTTTGGGGGGGCATTCTGCCTTTAATGGATAGGACAGCCAAGTGTGAAGGGGGGAGAGAGAGAGAGAGAGAGAGAGAGAGAGAGAGAGAGAGAAGAGACTATGTGCTTTCTCACCTACAGCTCACCCACAAGCACCTCGATTTTTGTGTCAGTAATTTTTAATAATATCTTCTAATATTGTAAATATATACATTACCAAGTACAACTTAAGTTTTTAACTTAGCTTTTGTGTGTAAAATCACTGCAGTGCACTTCATCACCTGCACATTTGGATTGTATAAATAAGAAAAGCCTAGAAATAAATCCAGTGACAGCTCTTGCACAATTATTAAAATGCATATCCTTATTATGAGTCCTAATCACAATGCAGGCGAAGATTGCAATAAAAACATAATTAAAAAAAAAATGTGTTCACCTATCAAACTTTCATTTTCAAATGATATCTCATAGTCGGGGATATCACTGATTGTCACAGTCATCTTGTGAGAAGCAAGTAGTCTAAAAGCTGTTAACATATAATACTGCAGTGACACTGTTGCCGTGATTCACCTTAAGGACCCATTCATTAGCAGCCTCATATTAATGCATCAATTCATGAGGTATTTTGCATTATCCATTTATGGTTGACTGTGGCCGTGTAGAGGGCGGGATATGAGGCTGATCCATGTGCAGACAATTCCAAGTTGATTTTGCACTGACAAAAAAAAACTGCGCACTGGCAATTATATATCAGAATATTTTTGCTACGTGCCATTTTTGGCTTTTGCTCACACACCCTCTTTTAGTATAGATCCTATGCACTGTTTTATAAATGAGAACCCTCGTCTAAAAAGGTAAAAGAGATGAAACTTGTGTTTTGTTTATTAGGTAATTGAGCAGGATCTTATCCATGTTTTGACTTTCACCTTTGGAAACTTTTTTTGTCTCCAACTTCCAAACTACACTGAGCATAAGAATGATAAGCATCACTTGTCACACCACTGACTCAGTGCTGGTCGTGGCAATGACATACAGTGAAGAGAAGATCAGCGCCCAATAAGCTCCTGTTTTTTTACATGGTCATTTCTTTATATTAATTATTTAAAGAAATCCTTAAATATGCCCAGCATTAGGTGATGAGACACATATGATATAATGTTAAATAAAAAAATAAATAATGACAGACAGATGGAAAGATAGAATAAAGGATTATCCCTTATTAATAGTTTAAGGAACGACGACAGAGACAGAAAAACACAAATTCTTTAACTTGAAACTGCTTTAGTGTTTTCACCAGTTTAAGTCATGCTTGTTTTGGAGAGGAAGAATCCTCTGTGGATATTTCAGCTTTCAGTAAAAACTCATGAAATATGAACACTAAAGAAATTCTGACTGCATTGCCAGGCTTAGCACAAAGACTGGAGAGATTGGTTAGAGTTAGGGTAAGAATACCAGGGTTAGCCCATCAGAGGGTTAGGGTTAAGGTTAGGGGAGAGGGAGAGAGAGAGAGAGAGAGAGAGAGAAAGAGTGTGTGTGTGTGTGTGTGTGTGTGTGTGTGTGTGTGTGTGTGTGTGTGTGTGTGTGTGTGTTAGGGCTCTTGATCATCCCAGATAAAAAAACCTGCATGCAGTACGTCTGTTTAGCATATCTGTTGGTTGCCTGGCAACCCTTATGATGATGACAACACAGTGGAAAGTCATTGTTCCCTGTGTTTGTCACCAGGAAATAGTTACAGCACATAATTCCTTGTAAAATTACAGAATGGTGTTTGTGCATTGATTAAAGAAACAAACCACAAGCTTTTGTTTTGCTTTAGAGGTGTTGTTATGCATAGTATTCTTGAACTTCAGAGAGGGTCAGGCTATCTGGTTCCTCGTGCTTTTAGTCTGTATGTTAAGGTCAGCTAATTCCCCCCTGACTCCAGGTCCATACTTAGCACACAGACATCAACCTTTTGGTGAGAAAACAATTTCCCAAAATGTCTACCTATTTCTTTAAAGATGAAATTTGAGGTATAGACAGCTTGACGATGCATAGAAGGTGGATGGGTGCTTCAATGATAAATAAATGTTGTACTTTGACTCAGACTTAGTTCAAACTAGTTTTCCTCTATCCATCCGGCGAATGTTAATTTTTTTGACAAATAGTGTATTTCCCAATGTCCTGTAATTTCCACAATCAGCCATGACTGTTCAGCTCCATACAGGCCATTCACTGCCCGTTTAATTGCAGCACACACACATGCGTGGCCTGTGGTCTTGGTCTTGGCTGAGGCTGCCTTTGAATGGGTCTTTGCAAGCCACCATACTGTGCTCCCATTTTCTGACAGGCTTCCTTTGCAGGCAAACCTGGGGGCAATTTGGAAGTGGCACAGTGTAAGAAGAGCTTCCTGTGCCAGTGGCCTTGGGTTAGGCTTTAAAATAAGCCACCAAGAAGAAGGCAAACAGCGAGTGAGAGAAGAACAAGTTGCTCCCCATCTGCCTCCATCATGGCTGACACACTCCGAAGAGCAGGGAAGACTAGGAGAGCGGGTGGGTGTGGGAAGTTGACTCCAGCGACACTGTGCTTTGTGATAATGTCAATAATTAAACAGTGTCAGAGAACAGAATACCAGAGGATGACAAAGATCATGGGACATGGAAAAGAGTAGGACAGACAGAAGGAAGACAGACATTTCAAAAACCTGCTGCCTCTCAGACTGTAGACATACTGACAGAGCTCACAGCAAGCTGCACAGAGACACTGGCAACAGCAAGAGAGATTGCAAGGACAAGGAAAAATATGATGTTTATGGGGAGCAGAGCATGGCGTGATATGTTCATTAGCTTGCACCCAGAGGACATCAGAGCACAGCTGAGTTAGCAGGGCAATGTAGCGCTTAGCGTTGTGCACCACAGCCTGGGGAGACTGAAAGAGACTGGGAGACAAGCAGACAGAGAAGCAGAGACACATGTAGCTCATGCACTGGAGAAAAAGAGGTCACTTGCAATCGCACTGCCTCAGGAACCTTCAACATGTAGCCTTAGCTTCTGTTCTTTGTTTGCCTCTCTCTCTCCACAACACTGGGTCATGGCAAACAGCACGTGTCCTACATAAGTCAATGTCCTACCTCTAACCGCTATGCAACCCCAAGCGATTAGACTTACAGCTCCTCTCCTCGGTGGCCTTGGCCGGGATCTCCTCCACACAGTCGGCTGGAAACCAGCCCACCTGGCCGCGGGCACTGCCCTCCCAGAAACCCCCCTCTCCAATGCTCAGAACTGGACCGAGGGGAGAGAGAGTGGGGCAAAGGGGGAGTTGGGAAAGTGGTAAGGAGAAAGTGAAAAATGACACCAGTTTCAGAGCACTAAATGAAAAGACAGAATAATGTGTCCTCAGAGATCATTTGCAGTGCTTTATCTAAAGGCTACATTTGAATAAAAATTAACACAACATTAAGGCAAAGGTTACTGCAAATACAAACTCTCCTACACTATATCAAAACTAAGCCCAAAATACCAACAGCGGTAAGTAAAGGGTGTTAGAAAGGATTGCTGTTAGGTGATATATATATATTGATATATTGAAATACAAGAATATGACCACATCCATCATGAGGCTGATAAATGGGATGTATGTTAGGGGTTGCAATTAAATGTCATCCATTAACAGTGTGAACTGCTGGAGCATGGAGCAGCTGATGCCTGCAAATGTTGACAAGCTGACAGTATTACTAAATGTTCTTGAGAAATCCAAAATCAGTTTGTGTGAAAGATATTTAGTGTTTGTGTTTAAGTAAGATTCTTGGTGGTCTTTAGTCCTAATAAGGGCGCTAGTTTATATGTATTGTTCCCCTTCCATTCAGGTTTATGGACATAAAGATCTGCTCAAAGACTGGTTGGTTTTTTGATAAAGATATTGTTTACATTTCCCACTTAAACCCAAGAAAAGATATTAGAAGTGATAATTAAAAAAAAACTGCGACAGTATGTTCCATTCCAATTTTGTTTGTCAATTTTGTTTGTCAGGTTTTTGAAGAGGGGTTGTATGGGGTACTTATCCATAGACAGCATATTTCAGATGTCAGTGAGCATGCTCCCAGTTTGGAGAAGCAGGCTAGGTTCAACAAAGAAGCTAAGTAATGTACTACTGTGGAGGGTTCAGCAACAAAATGTTTTTTAGTCACCTAAAAAAAAAATTCAACTTCCGTTTAAATATATGCTAGATTAAAAGTATTTCTACTGCTTTACCTTTAGAATAGAATAGAATAGAACAGAACAGACTTTATTGTCATTGTACAGGGTACAACGAAATCATGGGTGCTCAGCCCACACAGTGCAAAAGAAGACAATAAAAACATAAACACCTACTGATATAAAAAGCAATAAATAAAACGGACACAGTTGTGCAGTGTCAGGCAGTGATTTCCGACTGAAAAATGAAGCTGTTAAATCGCTCTCTTCAAAGCCAGACTCCATTAAGAAAAACAATGATTTAACATTGCTGAACACAGGAGCTGATGGTCCTAAACTGGCTTGGTCATTTTTATTTATTTTTTTGTGTGTGTTACTGTGTGATTTTGCCATTTAAAAGTGTTAGTTTGGATTCAGTGCCGAAGCCACACAAAAACACAAACTAACTTATGATCAAGGCAGCAGTAGACCAGCAGCTGCTGTGTTCAGCAAGCTAAAATTACTGTTTCTGTCAATGGAGCCTGGTTGGTTTGACGAGAGCATAGATGTGGAAATGAAACTGTTAACGACGTCTCTGTTGGAATGGGCTGTCTGCCGGCAAGGTGAAGCCTTAATAATGCTATAAATATAGCACACCTTCATGCTGATATTATATTTTTTAGGAGGGACTCATTTTAGGTGGTTAAAATACATTTTGTTGCTGCCTTCATCAACAGCAACAGATTGCTGAGCCTCTGTGCCAGCCTGCTTTTAAAAACACTGGGGGTGTGCTGACTGACATCTACTGTATTTAATACACTGACTATGGCCTCGTGGCCCAATTGTTGAAAAACGCACGCTAAAGTGCCCTCTTGGGAGCCAAAACGCGCGCTAAAGTGCCCTCCTGGGAGCCAAAACGCATGCTAAAGTGCCCTCCTGGGAGCCAAAATGCCCTTCTGGGAGCCAAAATGCGCGCTAAAGTGCCCTCTTGGGAGCCAAAATGCCCTCCTGGGAGCCAAAACGTGCGCTTAAGTGCCCTCTTGGGAGCCAAAATGCCCTCCTGGGAGCCAAAAAGCTCGCTAAAGTGCCCTCTTGGCAGCCAAAGCGCCCTCCTGGGACCCAAAATGTGCGCTAAAGTGCCCTTTTTGGAGCCAAAAAACACACTAAACTGCCCTCTTGGCTGGTTAAAACATGATAAACTGCCCTCTTGGGTGTAAAAAACACACTAAACTGCCTTCTTGGCTGGTTAAATCATGATAAACTGCCCTCTTGGGTGGAAAAAACACACTAAACTGCCCTCTTGGCTGGTTAAAACATGATAAACTGCACTCTTGGGTGGTAAAAACATTACTGTTGCTATGACTTTTTTGATCTATATTGAGCCAGAACTATATCTCACAGAACCAGTTTGGATTATCTGGTGCTAATATGGCGTTAAAATGCACTAGAATACAGGAAATGGCATCTACTTACTTTAAAATTGTCTGGGGGAGGACCCCCAGACCCCCCAAGGGATTTATTTCTTTCATACATCTATGTCTCTGTGTATTCTTCACAGTCCAGCGTTGAATCTACACAGTTCTCGTGGATGCTGATCCTAACTACAAACTAACTTGAGTAGTCTGTCTAGTTAGTCTGTTTTAGGGCTATATAATGTGCCATTTGTATAACATATAATCATGTCTAAAGTGCCCTCGAAACCACACAGAACTTAGTGCCCTCTTCAGTGGTGAGAACGTGCTGTATGTGCCCTTTTTTTTCTTTTCGCCCCTGCCCTTCAAAAAGTCTGTGCATGTCACTGCATATGACCCCACTTTGAAAAACCTGAACCATCCCTTTAACTCTTTAATATCTTTTGTCCCCTTCTCCCCCTTATGTAGCTATAAGGTTGGAAAAAATCATGTAATTCCATACAGTCTAACAGCATCATATCAACTTTATATCTTCTTTGTTTCAGCTCTTCATTTAAGATACTGAATGATGTTTACACTGCTTGAAATATTTAATCCATAATTTTACAGCTTCATCATTCCATTAAATGGAGATATTGTCTTTAATTTATACCACCTCCCAAAATTCAACCGAGCATATGATTACATTTCAATAAGCTGTGGCTGATAGTACATCATAACCTACAAACAGTAGGTACTAGCTATTTGTTATACTAAAATAAGCTGTACTGTATGTGACAGCAGCAATTAAAATTAATTGAGCTCACTATTAGTCTCAATAATTATCTCAGACAAAATCATTCCTGGTGAGCATTAAAAATAAACTGCTGGCACTAAAGTCAAGAGCATAATTTTTTTATTTACACATTAAGGAAGACAGAATATTGATGTTTCTGGCATGAGGCATGTCCTCCCTGATTTCTCAGTGAATCATGCATTTTATGCCCATTCATCAAACCCAGCACAGACCAGCATGCTCTTAATGTCTGCAGATGAGGAGGATGTTATTCCTCTGCATCTGTATTTAAACCCTGTAGAGCCTTAGGAGTCATTTTCATCAGATATGGTAATTTCCTATTTGATTTCCAGTTGTCTCATTTTCAGACACAATTATAAAATGAAGGCAGAGATGAATCAGTGATTTGCTTTTTGATTTTGGTATTCATCATTCATCCTCCAAGTGGGGGAAATTCTGTTCTTAAGGTACTTTACTTGAATATTTCAATGTGCTGCTACTTAACTCCTTTTCTCCAATACATTTTGTGGGCAAATATTGAACTTTTTTACTGCCCTTCATTTATTTGACAGTTTTATTACAACTTACTTTGCAGATTCTGATATTAATATGAAATAAAATCAACAAATAAAACATTAACTAGAACTCCAGATAAAGCGATCCAGCAGTATATAAATACAGTTATCCCATCTTTACACATTACTGCATCAGTAATCATAATCCAATAGATTGATATATTGTTCTGAAATGGTCCACTCTGTTATGAGGACTTTTGATACTTTGATTTTATTTTATTTTAATGATAATACTTTTACTTAAAGGCAAAACCTTAGTATTTTTAACATGTAGCCTACAATGTTTTTGAGTCTAAGTGACTAATGGGAGCAACGATATCTGAAACTGGTCCAGTATTGAGTGAAAGTTTAGCTTCAGCTGGCAGCTGTGAAACAGCTTGCAATGTAACCTCAGCATGTTTGCACCATCAGTTTATGTCCACTAGAAGTGCTTGGTTTTGCCACTGACAGGCTCAGATTTAATATTCAGTTTCTAGAAATAGTATGGAAAGGATCCCTACAGAGACAGTGACCTTTCTGTAAAAGAGTAAGATCATTTTGTTTAATCAGGGACAGCCCAAAAATCACTATTGCCAAACCTACCAGACTCCATTTAAATAAACAAGAATTTCATCATCATAGAACACCCTTCATTGAAAGTCGACCAAAACAAAATAAAAGTCACAACAACCATCTTGGTTTCTTCTTTCCACTGTTTCAACCATCACCAACTCTAGTTTGGTTGAAATAAACCCTTAATTTACCCAGTTAGAAGTATAAATATGTTGGCTCTATACACACTAAAATTAACGTTTATTTAAATGTAGTCTGGTGGGTTTGGCAACTGTGATTTCAGGGCTGTCCCTGGTTAAACAAAAAGGATCTTAGTCTTTAACAAAAAGGCCGACAGGGATCCTTTCCATAATCTTGTCAGACATTAAATTCAATCTGAGCCTGTTAGCACTGTGGACATACAGTGCCCTCCAAAAGTATTTGAACAGTGAGTCCAATTCGTTTACTTTTGTTGTAGACTGAAAACATTTGGGTTTGACATCAAAAGATGAATATGAGACAAGAGATCAACATTTCAGCTTTTATTTCCAGGTATTTACATCTGGATCTGATACACAACTTAGAAGATAGCATTATTTGTAATGGAACACAAAATTTTTAGGTGAGCAAAAGTATTGGAACATATAAACTTAAAATAGATTAAAGTGAATGAGACTTAATATTTAGTTGCAAATCCTTTGCTTTCAATAACTGCATCAAGCCTGTGACCCATTGACATCACCAAACTTTTGCATTCTTCTTTTGCGATGCTTTTCCAGGCTTTCACCGCAGCCTCTTTCAGTTGTTGTTTGTTTTGGGGGGTTACTCCCTTCAGTCTCCTCTTCAGCAGGTAAAATGCATGCTCTATTGGGTTTAAGTCTGGAGACTGACTTGGCCAGTCTAAAACCTTCCACTTCTTGCCCCTGATGAACTCCTTTGTTGTTTTGGCAGTGTGTTTTGGGTCGTTATCTTGCTGCATGATGAAGGATCTCCCAATCAGTTTGGCTGCATCTTTCTTTAAATTAGCAGACAAAATGTTTCTGTAGACTTCTGAGTTCATTTTGCTGCTGCCATCATGTGTTACATCATCAATGAAGATGAAAGAGCCCGTCCCAGAAGAAGCCATGCAAGCCCAAGCCATGACATTACCTCCACCGTGTTTCACAGATGAGCTTGTATGTTTGGGATCATGAGCAGATCCTTTCTTTCTCCAAACTTTCGCCTTTCCATCACTTTGGAAAAAGTTCATCTTTGTCTCATCAGTCCATAAAACTTTTTCCCAGAATTTTTGAGGCTCATCTCTGTACCTTTTGGCAAATTCCAGCCTGGCCTTCCTATTCTTCTTCTGGTGTAGCGTCTGTACTTTTGTTCATGAAGTCTTCTGCGAACAGTAGATTGTGATACCTTCACTCCTGCCCTCTGGAGGTTGTTGCTGATGTCACTAACAGTTGTTTTAGGGTCTTTCTTTACAGCTCTCACAATGTTTCTGTCATCAACTGCTGATGTTTTCCTTGGTCTACCTGTTCGACGTCTGTTGCTTAGTACACCAGTGGTTTTTTTCTTCTTCAGGACATTCCAAATGGTTGTACTGGCTATGGCCAATGTTTTTGCAATGGCTCTGATTGATTGTCCATCTTCTCTCAGATTCACAATTGCTTCTTTTTCACCCATAGACAGCTCTCTGGTTTTCATGTTGGTTCCACCTCTAAATGCAGTCTACACAGGCAAAACCTTCAAAAATCATACTCAATCTGAAACTGAGCTCAGACATTCAGCGCTATTTATTGTTTGAATAATCAATGTAATTGGGAGACACCTGGGCAACAAAACACACCTGTCAGTCACATGTTCCAATACTTTTGCTCTCATGAAAAATGGGTGGGTTCAAACAAAAGGTGCTATCTTCTAAGTTGTGTATCAGATCCAGATGTAAATACCTGGAAATAAAAGCTGAAATGTTGATCTCTTGTCCCATATTCATCTTTTGATGTCAAACCCAAATATTTTCAGTCTACAACAAAAATAAAGGAATTGGCCTCACTGTTCCAATACTTTTGGAGGGCACTGTATATTGACAGGCGAACATGCCCAGAGCAGTTGTGTAATGGTAGGTGATGAGGAGGGTGTACCTCTAGGTCAATGAGTAGGTTACAGAGGAGGGTTTTACACTGCAGTTTGCAACACACACCCCTTGTCTGTGTACGGCTGGCTCTGCATTGTAATAGATACGCTGTACACAAAACAACTCACCAACATTTTAAAGGCTAGGGTAGAGATGCATGCCCAAAATAGAAGCTCACATTTCTGGTCTGAAGGAGAAACATACCTGCTTTTAAACATTATGAAAGACTTCGATATCAACAATTTTTTGGATATGCCCAAATATCACAACACCGACCTTTTCAAGAAGGTGGTTGACTGAATGGAAGAGGGAGGCTGTGTTGGCAATGTCCAATAAGTCCACCAGTGGTAGGAAAAAAATCTTATTTTGATGTAAAGAAGCAAAATGACAAGCGGCTCCAGTCATTCTAAGCTGTTAATCAGAGTATGCAGGGCTACATGTAAACAGGAGTATAAGTGGGCTATTCATTTTCATTGGCCATGTAAATAGCTCAATAGGAATATTGTCTTTTTTAAGAAATAAGGGCAAAACCTGGATGCTGTGAGGGTCCAAAGGACAGAGGGATGTCATATGCTGTAAAGCCCTGTGAGGCAAATTGTGATTTGTGATATTAGGCTTTATAAATAAAATTGATTGATTGATTGATTGACAATTTTGTGCATGTAAACATAGTCACTGACTTTACTGGCAGTCTAGGATGGGGCTCTAATATGGACCCCCTTAGTGGTGAAAAAACAAGTAAACCATCACAACAAACCCATTCTCACCTTTGACCCTGTCACTCTTGTAGAGGTTGATCTCTCCCTCGGCTTGGGCGGTGTAAGGACGAACCACCACAAAATTTCTCCCAGGAACTGCGCTGTACAGCTTCCTTCTGGTGCCTACTGCCTCGCCATGACTGCTAGGACTGAAGGAAAGGAAAAAAATCACACACTGGTAAGGACACAAGGTTAAAGCACAATTAGAAAATCTAATTTACATTTAGTGGAGACAATAACAGAGACAACTAATTCAATAGATCCTGTAGGAAAGAACAATTTAGTGAAGCTTATGAAGTCCCAGTCTGACGTGTTGTTAAGCAATTTTCTGCCACGCCTGCCTTATTATTTAAAGTGGCAATAAAAAAAATTTAACCAAAACATTGTAGATGAAATTATGCACAGGTCACCAAGAAATTTCCATTTGATTTCAGGGTGTTGTCAAAAAAAAAAAAAAAAGGTATCTTGATGAGTAATTCAATATTGCAAAGAATCTGTAGGACAGAAGAAAATATATGTACCATGTAGTCATGCAGTCATGCAGTGTGGAAGAACTGTTTTATATAACTTCAGAGCTACTTAAGGAGACTGACTGAAGGCCGAAGGTCAACGTTTTAAACTATGTACTCAAAAAGTTGAAGAAAAATACTTTGACAATCTAAAAAAAAAAAAAAAAGAAAGAAATTAACAATATGAGCTTCCTAAAAATTACCACTGAAACACACACACACACACACACACACACACACACACACACTACAGCCTCTGACACACAGCTAAACTGGATTTATGCGAATGGATACATGGACACACACACACACACACTTAAACCAATTATGCAGAGGAGATATTCAGAGGCCAGCAGGCACGTGTTTTGCTGGAGTAAGTGGGGCAGAATATAGGCAGACTGTGACCCACAGAGCTGCAGTGGCTTCTGGGTAAGAGACAAGACATTCTAAAGACCGTACAGGGAGCTACATGGGACCAGCAGTAGAAAAGGAGAATATCAAAAAGCCACAAAAAAATAGAAGGATCATATATGAACACTCCGGTCCTCCAGAGACAATATGATTTTGTGCTGGTTGTTTAATATGAATCGAATGATGCAGGTTGCATTTATATGTTTGTATGTAAAATCTAAAATACATGAATATAAAAATCTGCATTAAAACAAAAGTGATCTCCAACACTCCCTCGTCCATCCACAGCACTGAGATGTGACCACAGAGAGGATAACTGTGGTGCTGGATAATGTCTGACATGATAATGTAGCGCCACTTAGTGGTCAACTTCCAAAACATCACTTTCCACAACAGATGGATTGATGGATCAGGGAAGTGTGCAGTTTTTAGTCTCACCAAACATGATGGAAAAATGTGATTTCACAGTGAGTCCTTTTTTCCGTTTTGTCTTTCTTTTTTTTTAATCAGCAGTTAGTTTACAATTTGGTTTGATTAAAAACCAGCAAGTTGTTGAACTTTTAGTGTACATAAGTAAATATGAGCCCGAACTGTTATCTGATTTATAAACATCAGGACTGAAAAGACGATCAGACTTGACTATCTAGAGGAAGTAAATGTTGTAACAAGGTTTCTGAACCCCTGCAAGGATCATTGCACGGTAAAATGGATACAGTTAAACAAGCACCCCTCACCAGCTGGACCAGCTTTCTTGTTTTACAGCGAGACAGTCACTAAAATACGTTTTTGAAAACATCTGAGGAGAGGATGGAGTCCTAAGATGTTTTCAAAAACATGTTTTAATGACAAGTATCCAACATGGCAGCCAGGTCACAAACTTTCTCATTTTACAACTAAACAGTACAAGCAAAAACATCTGAGGTGAGAACCAGGCAATGCAGTAACAGAATCGTGATTCATTTTTGATCAGCACTGCCTAGTTTGACAGTTTGACCACAGTTCATGGAGCGACTAACATGATTGACAGCTGCTTTAGAGACTCCTGCCATTGGAGGCAGTAGAGAGAGGAGGAGAGACATAATTTTTCTGTCTCATGTATAGTAACAGTTTTAGCAAATATGACACAAAGCTATTTTCATAAAAGTTACCAACTGTGTCTTTAGTATCAGCATAAATCAACTAATATTTAAAAGGGTTTTAACAATGAAAACAAGAGAGAAATGTTAGACTTGTACTTTGCTTTGTGATCAATAACCAAAAAATACCAAAGTACACTGCTTTGCAAAAAGCTTTTAATAAATGGGTTTAGCGCCCACATATCTCAACTCTCTTGGTGCTTGTAAAAGTCAAGAGAGGATCTTTAAATGGTTCAGTTTCTTTGAGGCTACATTATCAAATCAATGTCAAAGATCCTTTGAATTCTACTAAGAATTTCCTTCAAAGAATTTCCAGGGATGTATACGTGTGTATCCTCAGCGGGCATGAAGACCTCACAAATCTTTTTGCATGATTTGAAGTTGCATGAGTTGAAGACGGGATCTCTTCAATGACACACACCTGGGCATTTGCTAGCCTGTTTCAATGTGTGTTCACCGAATGCTAGGAAGGAACCTTGCCTAGCCCCAGTAGGACCCAACTTGAGAGGACCTGAAGCATCCTTGACTTTGAGAAGCACCAACAGTCTTCACCAGGGCAGTTCTTGTTTTTGGTCTTATGATATGTCCTTGGATCCAAACAATTGTTCTGTTTGTGAAGTAGCAATCCTCAGCCAATCTGACTTTTGCTCACTTTATAGAGCTTTATGTTCTTCGTTGGGTGTGTTGCACAGCCAAACAATTTGAGTAATGTAAAGAGACAGAGTGGAGAAGAGTTAGAGACAAAACCGCAGCGAAGGAAAAACTAGGAGATTAAAGAGAAAGAAGTAAATGGAGTGCAGGAGCAAGGGATTGAGAGAGAGAGAGAGAGGGGAAGGAAATGGTTTTTTCAAGTAAGTGGGTCACCTTGTCCTGTAGACTGCACTCCTCCTCAAACCTTCACAGGCCTTTGGAGAGCTAACCCCATTCAATACCTAGTGAGACTACTCGCACATTTTCTACAGGAAAGCCATGGACAAAACTGCAATTGTGCAATCTGAGCAGCTAGAAATACTCTTTATACCACTGAGAGGCCAAATACTGTATTATTCACACACAGCAATCTAAAAAGCTCTGACAGTTGTCAGGTTGATGGCTGACCTGTTTGATGGCTGACATCTTGTGTTAAACAACTGTAGAGTACAATCCTGGTCAACCTTTTTTCTTTGTGAATGCCTGTTCATATTGTGATTATCATAAGTGCAAGCTGAGTGTATGCTTCATATGACGTTTTCCACCCCTGATCTCATGTCTTCAGTTTTTATCACTGTTTTGATTTATTTCCTTTTAGTATGCAGAGGTTTAGAGGTTCTGCATCTGTTTTACAGCACTGGTGTTGCGTCTCCTGTTTCACAATCCAGAAAGATGACTATTTTGACTTAAAGGGGCAAAAAGCGAAGTCGTTTCACCGCTAGGTTTGCTGTTGTGCACTGCCTGTAGACCAAAATAAAGTGTGTCATGAGCCACTCCTCCCTCTACCTCTGCTCTCCACCCCCCCACCTCACTCACTTCGTCTGTGCAGCCGAGGACCGCAGCACTCCACGGACTGTTACATCCAGACGGTCCCGGTGTTTCTTCCGCAGGCTCCACTTCACTCAGCTGCCCGATATACCCGCTGCTTCTTCCCACATTAACCTGAATAACAAACCAGGGCTCGGTGCTCCGGTTGGATCTAAGCGGAGAGCCGGGGCTAACATTAGCTGGGAGCCTGAGGAGGAAGCACCGGTTAGCCCCGGTTTCACTACAGGCAGATTCACTCGCCACAGGGGCGAGGAAATAAAACCTAAACAGCCAACTAAGTTTGGCTTAGTTTAGCAGTTAGCGATGTCTTTCACTCACTCTCAGTCTCTGCTATGTTTAGCTATTTTCCTGCTTTCCTGTTAGCGTTAGCACTAGTCGGCTGCCACGCTAACGTCCCTACTCTTCTCCGTGAGCCGGAGCCTTGAGAAGAGTAGGGACGTTAGCGTTAGCTCCACGAGTTAGCACTAGAGCTACAACGGCTACTGGAGTAACTTACAGCTATGGAGCGCTTCTACCAGCTCTTCTAGTCACTGAGCCTCGCCTCCATCTCAGCAAATATATTACATTTATTACAGGTACCATCATCATTGAAGTAGGCAGGGAAATAGCTAAACACAGCCCACCAGGCTGCCCGCCGGGCTACATTTTACAATGCTAATTGCAAATGTTAGCTGGACTGCCGGGCTACTCACCTAACACAACCGTAACACCTGACTTATTGCTGGGACAGAGCCGCTAATAACTCAAGCTCCGGACATTAACTCATGCTACAGTTGTAACATTAAATTAAATTGAATCGACATAGCAACATGTGCCTAACGTTACTGTAACACTAATTAAAACAGGCATTTGACTTTATGTTGTACCTGTCCAGGAGAAGAAGAGCTAGCTCTGAGTCAGATTGTAGCCCCTTTAGCTCTCGCAGTGCTCTCCACCTTGGAAATGCAAGGCCAATGTTAATCCGAGTTCTGTCCCTTTTCTTATCCGACAACTTCTTCACCAACAACCGTTGTTTCTTAAGAGGTAATGTCGGATCCTGGTCGTCTTCAGGTGAACGTTTCATTCCGCTCTCCGCCATTTCGCTTCGAAAATACGTACTGCCATTGCTCACTGGCTGTAGCCTTTTATAGGGAGGGAGGGCCAAGGGCTCTGAGGGGGGGTGGGGGGTGGGTGGATTCACATGAATGTACATGAACGCGCAGCTGGACCGGCTTGTAAACAAGGGGCTGCAGATCAACACAGAGAGAGGGTGTGTGAGGTCATGCTATACTCCAGATGACATTACACCTCTAGTTCTTCACATGGCAATTTTTTAATTCCTTCAATCTAGAAATGATGAATTTCGCTTATTGCTCCTTTAACAACTGACCAAAAATATTAAAGTAAAAACATTAAAGAAAAATGGGCCCTATATAGGACTGTCCATAGGTTCCATATTGGCCCCATGCCAATTGAAAACAGTACAAAGACATGCACTTTCCAGTGTTAAATGGAGTGGGTGCTGAACCAGAGAAACGTCTGTCAAAGTAGTAAACAAATAAGTCCGCTCACCAAGCAAATCTGTTTAGAAGCATC